AACGATATGCGCAACCACAAAGTATTGGTTGAAACTGAGTGTTGTACGACGAGATTGCGAGACAATTTTTTCCTAAATAAATTTTCACACATTTGGAACAGATATCCAGAAGAAACTCGTACGGCATGCTCGTTGACACTTTTCCGCTCTTCACTCAATAGGCTACTAATGAACGACAAGTCTACCGCTCAATTAGCCACCATCTATCCACCCTGGGCTAATGAGGACGTACTTGGACCTCTGAATGTATGAAAAGGAGCTATTACAGCCTTCGTGTTCCTCCCACACTTATGGGTTGACGATTGCTTTCAAGGGTGTGAGGACTGGTTCCGCTTCTCACTGTAATGAACTTACATATACTGGTTTCCTCTCAAAGCTACTACAATACATCCCAGGTATAGAAAAGTTTTAAGAATCTTATAGTGGAAAAACTATGTGGTTAATCACACATACATACATGAAAATGTACATAAAGTTCGGATAGGTCTGAAAGTATAGGAATTCTCTCTTTTCCAACCTGGTCTGCGTGATTGTTCCCTTTCCCATATCTGCTTGTGCTTCTTCTTTGTTTTTTATTTTACAGCAATAGCTCGATGATGACATTCAATTCTGAATTCCAATCTGAACATATCTGCCAAGTGGAAATAACACCCGCTGTTTAACTCCATGAATTATTGAACTGCTCCCAATCTTTCCCGGTTTCCGAAACATCTTCACAATCAAATCACCAGCTAGTCAGGATTCTTGCGACGAACCATCTAAAGATTCTCAGCAGCCATAGTGGCACAGATATTCTGAACAAATGATCAAACGAGAGACCAATATATCTATTGGCTCGGAATAGGACTTACCTGCAGTAATTACACACTACATGTTCTATAGTACTCTGTATCAAGTGATCTTAAGTAAAAGTTACCATGCATCAAATACACTTCCCGAATGATGCTGCCAACGCTAATATGAACTATGCCTGAAGTCCACATATAACTGCCGCCGTTTGGACCATTAACCATCTCAGCGTCTACCTTCATCTATACTAGAAGTACTCTCAGTGGAATTAATGTATACTACCTTTAAACCACATGGTGAACTGGAAATGCATTGATTTATACACTCACCCTGGTTGTATAACTGTGGATACTTACTGATACTTCAGATCGTAAAAATGGGCCCTTTGTGATTAACAAAGCTAAAAACTGAAGAACTTTCTAGTGAATGGATGTTTATATTACTAAATAAGAAACTATGCAAATGGGCTAACAACGTCGTCTGGTTATAGCGCAAACTTCGAACATCGAGCGCTTTTGTAGTTGATAGTGGAACCTATCTGTGTAACGACAGATGGAAATCCGAACCCGTCTCTTGATTTGCAGCAAATTTTAATAAGTTTACGCATATCAGTAACTTGTTATGTGAGTTACGTAATTCCCGGCACTATTCTGTAAACTTTCGAAATCATCATTTTGACGGTGGTTGTGAACTGGTATCTGTCGTGTTAATTCCATTTTATGGGAATGAGAATTTTTATTATCTTCACTTTGACGCACCGCATACGCTGGAAGTGGTATTTTCTTTGTCCCGTAACCGCGATCTGATGTTTTTGATGGAGTCAAGCGGCCTCCTCTCTGTACCATTCAGGACCCATAAAATCTTGTAGATTTTTTGACATATATCAATGTGATGATGCCTGTAAACTGGCTTCTCTCATGTTAAATTACTGATGTGACAATAAAAATTTATTTATTTATCAGGGCCTGGTTGGACGGACCATGTTCGGCGAGAAAGATATCCCGGAGATCGCCCCACACGCTGAAGCCAATAACCATGGTTATCCACTGGTAACCGGCACGCCGACGGAGAAGAACACTCATGGTGTCCAAAAGACGCTGCGGTTGTCGGGAAAGTTACAATAAAATGGGAAAGCTGCAGCAACAGTCTACAGGCTCCTACGTCCTCCACGTCTGAGAACAATATTACCTAAGTTGATGGCCACTAACTTCGGATGTCAGGGCTTCTAACAGAAGTATTAAACACTTGGTAGGCAGTTACGGGCAACGTCGACGGATACGTTCGCTGCCGTGAAAAAAAGCCTAGAACCCCGAGATAGTGGCAAAGAGCAGTCCCTCTTCATGTTGAGACCACAATTGCCGCTAATGGGTAGACGTTCAAACTTACCATTACTCAAAAGTACCCCCAGAAATCACCTTTGAAGTAAAACATGACCAGGCCGGTTCCATCTGAACTGGCAGGCCAGTTGCAACCTCCACCACTGCACACGACCCTCTACAGCTCGCCATCACTATGACAACCCATGTTGTTAGAAGCAACTCCAAATGTCTTTGCAGCACTGCGACTGGACTTAAGGGCGGGATGGTGGAGCTACGACCTCTCTGTTCCCACCTTGCTCCAAAGATTTTAATACTGGCAGAACCTTGATCATCCTTAAATATTAGAAACATTGAAGCCAATATAGACGGTGTGTGTATGTTCAGAAAGAACAGGAGAAATAGGGAAACGGCGGAGAGATATTCTTTATGGGTGACCATCTCAAAAGTGAGAGGGCCACCGAAACTCTTCCGACAAGTTCCCCAGACTCCATTCAGTGTCATCTTACGTTTGAGCACCCCAAGTGCATAATCATCCCACCCCCGTGACTACACAAAGTGTGGTTACCATCTTAGAAAAACCATGAATTTCATTTAAATGTTTATAACTTCATCAAACTTTTGTACATAGGTTTATAACAGTGAATACCTGGTCCAAAGTCTACCAGTCTTTCTTTTTCTTAGTGATATCTTCGGCTTCAGACTGATTTTCATTACCGTCGTGCGCGCCCTCATCTTTTTCCACCTAAGCTTACTTCTAAACAGTTGGTTTTGGATACTTCTTGAAGTAAGTTTTGTAGTCGGTACAAAGAACTCACCCAGACGTATCATAGTTGATCTACCCCTGCGTGCTCCTGTCTCGAATTTCGCCTGCTGCTCGCTCTTGTTATTCACTTTTCAAGTTTACCTAATCAGTCTTGCATTCAAATGGAATCCTAGAAGTCGCATTCGTCAGCGTGCACCATGCCATCAAAACCTTATGACGAACGCACACGCCTCAAGGTCATGACTGTACTGCCTATCCACCTCCAAGAATATTGGAAGATTCAAACAATAACCGAATAATTCCTAATTTAGAACTAAGCCTGCCTCAACACGCCTCTTATATGCCACGAATAACGGTATCTAATGCACTGCTTAACATTGTACATAATAGTCATTTCTCATTACCATAATGGTCAGACTGTAGGCTGGTTTGTATTCATGTAACCTATGTTGTATCAAATATATTATTATCATTGTTATCACAGAGTGATCCTAAGTTGATAGCAAAGTGGGCGAACAATAACGGACTGGCGCTTAACATATATGAAAGCCAAACCATGTTTTTCCGCGCCCCCGACTCTCAAAAGGTACCTTGATATCACTGTGAAACGCAACTTTCCCGCACCATCTCGGAAAAAGATCCGACTGATGAGCTAGACACCCGCCCCGATTATTCAAGAGGTACCTCCGAAGCCTACACAGCACCGCACCTCGTGAGCAGATAGACAGGTGCCCTCACTCTATGACCCTTCCTACAGCTGCAAAAACCTACATACAGCTTCACTTAGAGGTCCACAACGTCACCGCACCACCGTATTTAAAGGGGAAGTGAGCCCCCTTGGGAAGGCTCAGAGGTCAGTAAAACTGATTGTTGTGGAGGTGCCGCTAAAATCCCATAGGGCTGGACCGAAGGACCTAGGGGCTTGCGCCCCTAGCTATGGGTTACTTGGTGACTTAATAAGGTATCACAAAACACTAGATAATCCAAGTCACCCACACGATGGAATATCGCCGAACGACCATTGTGGCGATGCTCGTGGTGATCCAAGGAGAATCGGCCATCAAAGGGGGAAATCCCGTGTCCACTCCCACGTTTTCTCTCTACACGTTTTTGCTGCGGCTGGAACGCACTGTCTTTCAAAACTTCAACTGCCCCGTCCATCAACAACTTCAAAAGCAGGTTGGCCAGCTACGCAAGGATGCACAGTTTGCGCCCATAGGGTTGAAGTACAGACGACATTGATACAATTTAATTACACCACACAACCCGGCACAATATACCCTATACCAAACCTTTTGTACTGCCACCATCATAGTGAGCTTGACTCGACCCTGTAATTTCTCGTTAGACGTCTCCTTCAGTTACCACTCTCCACAAGTAGCATTACTATTTCCATCCCCATAATCAGACCAGTATTCTCACTTACTCCATCTCATTCCTTTCACTTAATGACCGCATCCTATTTGTTAAAGTTCTCGCAATAACTTACCTCCCAAGAATCAAACTAGGCGTCTGGTGGCATAACACTTATTCATACCTGTAAAAATGGTGTGCGCATATATGTTCAGGAATTATTATTATTATTATTGCTTGGGGAGCCCATCTGCACAACAGCACTTGAACAGATCACACAATCCCAGCAAATTTATTCAACACTCAAAGGCCCATTCAGTCAACAAGGATCACAGCTAGTGAGTAGGTAGGCATACAGTATCGGAATCCACAGAAGACCTGAACCATTCCGCAAGAGCTGGAGGAGGGCACGAAGGAATCACCTGATGTACACTTACCCGTAAAATAAATTGAACGACCTTAAGATCCTTTTTGAATGAAACTTTGAACAGTTCTCTTGTAATGGCAATTTGTTTTTTTCACAACATTTGTTTATCTCATGCAATTTTGAAGGTGTGTCATTCCCCATTCGTTTTATTGGATACCCAAGGTCAGTGTCGCTTCGTTTTTGGCGACGTAAAATGGCGTTGCAGCTCAGGCAAGTAGTGTCAGTTTGCTATAGAAGGGTAACTGCTGCTGCATCGAAGAGCGATTCAGTCCTATCACCTCTTGAGCAGAAGTATTACCCTCATATCGGAAACCGGGAAATCGTAGGTTACGGTAGAAATGGTACTCCCATGTATTATGACGATATGGCGTATCCGTATCCTGGTATTAGATTCCGCAACCATACACCTGAGGTAATATCATTTAGTCTACTCACCTGAGACAGATCTCATCGCTTCAAGGGAAAGAGCACGGTGATTGGTGTAAACTAACTAAGGAAGAAATAAAGACTTTGTATCGCCATAGCTTTCGACAGACTTTGGCAGAAGTTTCTGCTCCTAATGGACAGTGGAAATTGGGAATGGCATATGGTTTCCTTTTTATCAGCATAAGTCTCATGTTTTACGTATTTGCACGTTTGTTTGGTGAGTTACGTTTAATCATATGATATTTTTGTAGTCGTGACACCCTCAAAGAGTGTCATTGAATTGCCGGAGTACAAAGAAGCTCTTCTTTACAAGAAGATGTTCAGCCGATCAGGGTCAGTCGCCAAGGCCTACCAGTTCGATGTCTCAACAATGCGTTTTAGAGATTAGATAAGAGTGGTGAAACGTTAGCTGTAATCACAACTTACAAATAAACGATTGTAGAGATGCTGACTTAGTTTTCATTCCAAACCTATCCTTTCGTATGTAGATTTCAAAGGTACTTCTTTAGAAGCTGATTTGTTCTGGACTTTGTCGAGGCGTTCGGCATATGGCCACATCCAGAGAACTGAGACTTGAGGCTCTTTTACGAGAGCGTTTTCCAAATGCTAAGCTCGTGTCTGTTTCCGATGTGAGTGGTAAGCCACATAAGTTAATCCGAATTTTTTCTGTAGGTGGCTGCGGAGCTATGTTTGAGATAGCAGTTGAAACTGGAGAGTTCGCCTCCCTTACCGTTCTGCAGCAACATAGAGCTGTTAAGCAGGTGCGTGCTGTCGAACACGATCATTTGTTTCAGGCCTTAAGAGATGAAATAAAGAATATGCACGGACTGACAATTACAACAAGATCGTAGATTCATTCAGTGATGTCACCCGTGACTGTATTGACCTCAGTTTTCCGATATCAAGTT